AGTAAAATTTAGCTAGAAATCAGTAGCAGAAAGACAACTGGAACATTATCTTATGTTTGGAAATCAAGAAATATACTTCTTCATACTCAGTGATCTATCACAGAAGCAAAAAACAGAGTACCATATGTTCTCACTCATAAGCAAACCTTGAACAGTTATTATAATACTATAAGAAAGGGTTTAGCAGTAGTGGGAAACTGCCAGGTGAGGGAGAGGCACACCTCATCAACAAGCGTACCTGCATAATGAACATTTGTATACATAACTCTGAATTGTACCCCATGTCTTTAAAAGAAAGAAAAAAATGGAAGAGAGGGAGGTAGGGAAGAAAGGAAGGAACAAGTGAACGAATGGACAAACTGCTGGGCATGGTAGCTCATGCCGATAATCCTAGCACTTTGGGAGTCAGAGGTGAGAGGATTGCCTGAGTCTAGGGCTTCGAGACCAGCCTGGGCAACATGGCGAGACCTTATCTCTACAATAAGTCAAAAAAATTAGCCAGGTGTGATGGCACACTTCTGTGATCCCAGGTACTTGGAAGGCTGATGCAGAAGGATCACCTGAGCCCAGCAGGTTGAGGCTGCGGTGGCAGTGAGCGTGCCACTGCACTCCAGCCTGGGTGGCAGAGTGAGACTTCTACTCAAAAAAAGAAAAAAGAAGAAAAAAGAAGTACACTTCTAAGAAATATTTGGGCAAAAGAAGAAAGCATGACTGAAATTGAAAATGTTTTGAACTGAATTATAGAAATATTATAAAGCAAATTTGTGGAATACAGTTATAGTAGTTCTTAGAGGGAAATATAAAACCTTAAATATGTATGTTAGAAAAGAACAAAATTAATGATCTAATCATCAATCACAAGAAGTCTAAATAAAATATGCCAAGTAGAAGGAAATGATAAAAATCAGAGCAGGGGCTGGGCGCAGTGACTCATGCCTATAATCCCAGCACCTTGGGAGGCCAAGGTGAGAGGATTGCCTGAGCCCATGGGTTTGAGACCAGCCTGGGCAGCTTGGTGAGACCTCATCTCTTCAGTAATAAACCAAGAAAAATTAACTCAGTGACTTGAGCCTGTAGTTCCAGCTACTTGGAATGCTATAGTGGAAGGATCACCTGAGCCCAGCAGGTCAAGGCCGGTGGCCATGAGCGTGCCACTGCCCTCCAGCCTGGGTGACAGAGTGAGACTCCAACTCAAATAAATAAATAAAAATCAGAGTAGGAGTTGGGATATGCCACAGGAATGCAGGGGAAATCAATCAATATAATATGTCATATTAATAGAAGAAAGGACAAAAATACAGGTCAATACAAGCAGAAGAAGCATTTGATGAAATCCAAGCCCTTCTTTCACACTAAAAATACTTAATAAACTAGGAATAAAAGATGAACTTGATAGCACATGCCTGTAGTCCCAGTTACCCAGGAGGCTGAGTCAGGAGGATTGCTGGAGCTCAGAAGTTCGAGTCTGACCTTGACAACATAGTGAGACTTATTTCTATTTTTAAATAAAGATTATTTTTTTTCCAACTGCTGAAGTATATCTATGAATAACCCATAAATGACATAGTACTTAATGGCAAAAGATTGAAATTTTTTGGGGGGGGTTGGAGTCTCACTCTGTTGCCCAGACTGGAGTGCAGTGGCCGCTCCTGGCCACCGCAGCCTCGACCTGCTGGGCTCCGGCGATCCTTCCGCCTCAGCCTTCCAAGTAGCCGGAATTACAGGCATGCGCTACCATGCCCGGCTGATTTTTTGATTTATTGTAGAGATGAGATCTCGCTGCCCAGGCAGGTCTCGAACCCGCGGGCTCAGGCAATCCACTCACCTCAGCCTCCCAAAGGCGCGGGATTACAGGCTGAGCCACCGAGCCCGACTGAAATATTTTTCCCAAAAATCAGGAAAAAACAAGGATATCATTTCTCACTATTCAACAGTGTAGTGGAGGTTTTAACCAGGGCAATTAGACAAGAAAATGAAATAAGAGACATGTAGCTTGGAAAGAAAGAGGTAAAAGTATCTCTCTTTGCAGATAACATTGTTCACATTCTCTTTTTACAGATGGTGTATTTACAAACTCATCTACTCATTAAAAATGTATTTATAACTCCATGCAGGGTAAATGCCTACAAGATAAGACTTTTGAGGAGATTGTTTTGAGTAGAAACTTCATTCTTTATAGATGCTTTATAAAAAATATGAAGTTGGGCGACTCGCTTGGGTCTCCTTCCGCTCTGGGAGCTTTTCTGTCCTCTCAATAAATCCTGCTTTCAAAAAAATGAAGTCAATAATTATCTTTATATTGACTTAATGTATATATATATATTTTTGAGTTGGGGTCTCTGTTGCACTGGCTAGAGTGCGGTGGCAAGATCACTGCTTATTGCAACCTTGACCTACTGGGCTCAGGAGTTCCTTCTGTATCAGCTTCTTAGTAGCTAGGACCACAAGCATGTACCACCACACCTGGCTAATTTTTTTATTTTTTGTAGAGACAGGACTGGCTATGTTGCCTAGGCTGATCTCAGACTCCTGGGCTCATGCAGTCCTCTTACCTTGGCCTCCCAAAGTGCTGGGATTGCAGGTGTGAACCACCGCATCCAGCCAGACTTAGTGTATCTTTATATTGACTTCTGTATATTTGTGTATCTGTTATAAGATAATAAACTTGTTTTCAGGTACTCAGAATTATATTTGTAAACCCAAAATCCATACTCGTGGTGCTTTATGGTTATTCATAGACATGTGCAGAGTGGTGAAACAAAATTATATTGTCTAGAACTAGCATTAACAAAGGGAGTGATACTGTTTGCTTCCTTTTGTGGCAAAAATTGGTTCTTTGGAGGTGAAAAGAAAATCTTAGAGGTTTTTTTCTCTTTTTAAAATTTTTTTATTTTAAAGGTGTGGGGTACCATTCAGGGTTAGGTATACAAATTTTCATTATGCAGGTAACAAAATCTTAGATATTATAAAAGCCTGTGGCCTTTCAAAACTTAACCTTCCTATAATTATCACTTTATATTTCATTTCTCTTTGTATTTAGTTTTCTTTGGTATCACCTGAGTAACATTTATACTGACCTTGAATTTATGGAAGATACATAAATCCAATGCAAAATCAGTGCTATAAAATTAGGGTGGATAAATGACTGTGATTGAAGGACTTAGAAAAGCTTACTTGGTTTTAAAGTCATCACAGCAGGTGGTCTGCACTTGTCTGTTGGTTGCCATTGATTGCTTTGTTGATGTGATTTATGTTTGATGCCTGACATTTTGTATGTGATTTTGGTTTTTAGAATTAAATAAATATTTTCTGTGTAATTGTTTAATTCAACAGAAGTTATTCAACCTATCATTAATTATACCAACTGCTGAAATGCCCATAGTATATCTAGTAGGGAGTTAAGCTAAAAGTTATCTTCTTATTGCAAGCAAAAGGTAAGTTTACTAAACATTTTAGGAAATTAATTTTTTTTTTTTTTTTGAGTTGGAGTCTCCCTCGGTTGCCCAGACTGGAGTGCAGTGGCTGCTCCCAGCCACCGCAGCCTCGGCCTGCTGGGCTCCGACGATCCTTCCGCCTCAGCCTTCCGAGTAGCTGGAATTACAGGCATGCGCCACCACGCCCAGCTGAGTTTTTGATTTATTATTGAGATGAGGTCTCACTGCCCAGGCGGGTCTCGAACCCGCGGGCGAGGGTAATCCACTCACCTCAGCCTCCCAAAGGCTCGGGATTACAGGCTGAGCCACCGAGCCCGGCTGGGAAATTAATTTTTTAATTTGTTTTATTTTTGCTGGAAAAATAACTTGAATTATTTTCTAAAGCAATTTGATTGCATTGGTATTATTTATTTGTATAAGTGGTAATTTGCAGTTGTAATTTGATGCATCACAGTTTACACAAGTACAGAATTATATTAAAAAGTAGACACAATTACAAACTTAGGTTAAAAACCAATAGTCTTTAAAATTCTAATTCAACTTTTCACTTAAAAATTCTTAGTCATTTGTAACTTCACATTGAATAAAAAGAGTAGGCTTTATGAACTTTATATGCAAAGACATGAATACACGCAACATTATATGAATAACTATCTATGGTGGTAAAATTTCACAGGGAAATGAATAGCAGAAAATTTCTGAAAAGACTCCTTAGGGTTGATAATGACAAAGAAAGGATAAACATTGATCCAGAAATAGGTTACAGGTGGTAAAACTATAAAGAAAAGTAGAGAAGGGATTTCCATATAAATCAGGCTATCTCTTGAGGAAAGGGTAGGTGCTGGGTGCTTCTTGAGTACTGGCTCTGGTCTATTTCTTCACCTGGGTGGACCACTCAGATGTTTTCATCGTACATTAGTCTATGTGTACATGTTTTTTCCAATCACTTTAGCGGGTACAAATAATTTTTGGGTACATGGACGCATTGTATAGTCGCAAAAAAATCTAGACTTTAAGTGTACCCACCACTTTGTTCATATTTTATATACTTTTCTGTATGATTATTATATTTCACAATGACAAAGTTAAAGCTGACTGGGCACAATGGCTCATGCCTGTAATTCCAGCACTTTGGGAGACCGAGGTGAGAGGCTTACCTGAGCCCCTGGGTTTGAGACCTGCCTGGACAACATGGCGAGACCTTGTCTATAATAAATAAATTTTTAAAAAAATTAGCCAGGCGTGGTGGCACACCCCTGTAGTTCCAGCTGCTTAAAAGGCTGAGGCGGCAGGATCACCTGAGCCCAGCAGGTTGAGGCTGTGGTGGCCATGAATGTGCCACCGTACCTCAGCCTGGGTGACACAGTGAGATTCCAACACAACAACAAAAAAAAGTTAAAGTAGTATGTGGACTTTAAAATAATAGAAATGTAGAATATTATTTAAATTTTGTGTGATTATTGTGAATTAAATCTCTAACTTAGTAAAATTTCTTAATTAAAATAGTAGATGTTGACTGATGAAACTGAACAGAAACAGAAATGCCAATTTTGTTTTATTTTTTGATCAGATGGGCCCAGTTCTTTATCCATCCACTAATGATCAGAGATGCAATTGACCGTGAAGTTGAAGCTGTTGACAGTGGTAAGAGGAGTGCTTTATGTCTTATAGTTTTTTCCTTCATCAAACAAGTTGTTCAGTACATTTATTCTTCTTGGTCCCTGTGTCATTTTATCTCTATATTTTAAAGGGCTGAATTGAAATAGATGTATTGTGTTTATTTTTGAAGTCATTAAATGTCTAATTCAGTATAGATTTGAAATAAATGAAAATGATGGTGGACTTCAGTTTTTTTACCCTTTGTTTTTTAAGCTTTTCACCATAGTGGCTAATATTCCACAGGATAGGAACCAATTCTTCAAATTAATAATGGGTGTTTAAACTTTAAAAGTTCACTTGCTATTTTTGCATAAAGTGACAATTTCTCTGAGAGTTTATATTAAATATACCTTTCTATATTGATATAGCTTAACCTTTGTTACCCAGGTCTGTTGGTGCTTTGTGACTTGAATTTTGGTAGTTCTGAAAACAATTGGATATATCTTTATGGATAAAGAAACTAAGCCCCTGAGCAGGAAGTTCATTTAATTTTTCTTTTTGACTGTTTCTCTTATCTTTGAGATTTAAAGAATGAAGACAATAAGGAAAACTGTGTGCTTATATTGTATAGGGTGAGGCTTCATAATAGCTCTGTGCTATCACTATTCCTTAATTACATAATACCAACCAGTATCACCATTATAGGTTATCCCTGCTTGCATTATTTTAGCATCAGAAATATTTAATACTGGATTTAGAGTGACTTCCAATTCACATAGGTTAGGCTTGGATTACAGCAACTGAAGAGGCAAGTTCTCTATATCTGTTCCTCTGTTTGTAGCATTTTCCTCCGTGGCTTGACTTAGTATCTAGTTCTAATAATGACTGTGACATTCACTAGACTGAGTAAGCTATAGTTGGCTAGAGCCATTTGGAAGACAACAGGCCCCTGCTTAACTTACAGAAATATTTCTAGCTGTGATGCTCAGTTTATTTGTAAAAGAGAATGGGATGGTTAGGTTCTTCCTTGAAAGAACCTTGAAATCAAAGATTCATTTTCTTCATTTATGTTACTTGCCTACCATAATGTCTGTTTTATCTTAGACCCAGCTAAATATCTGTTGAATGGATGAAAAAAAAAATAACTAAGGATAACTCTAAAAGTACTTCTCATATGTTGAGACCTAAGAAATATTATCTGTGTCTTAAATGCTTATGAGTATATTTTTCTTCACACTGTTTCTAGAGTAGGTTGAAATCAGTGTTTATAAAAGTAGACCTTTAATTAGATTTTAAAAGTTTAAGTCAGAGTATATTTTATTATGCTTTAAAAAAATTATGTAGAAAAAGGCCAGGCATGGTGGCTTACACCTATAATCCCAGCACTTTGGGAAGCTGAGGTGAGAGGATTGCCTGAGCCCACAGGTTTGAGACCAGCCTGGACAACTTGGTGAGACCTCATCTCTAAAATAAATTTTTAAAAAATTAACTGGACATGGTGGTGCGTGCCTGTAGTTCCAGCTACTTGGAAGGCTGAGGTGGAATGATCACCTGAGCCCAATGGGTCGAGACTGCAGTGGCCATAAGCATGCCATTGCACCCCAGCCTGGGCGACAGAGTAAAACTCCAATTAAAAAAAAAAAAAGAAATTATGTAGAAAAATATATATACACATGTAACATATGATGTGTACAAACATATGCAGTACATAGTTTTGGTTTATGCTGAACTTTTAAGTAAAGGAGGATTTTGTTACATTTTTGTTCATTTGTTTCTTTGTTTTTAATGATAGAAGTCCTAGATTCAATTTGTGATCTGATATTTATAACTGTGCAATAAATTACTTGAATATTTATTAACCAGTTTTGAAAGCTCAATAATCAAGTTTTTTTTTTTCCTGTTCTATACAGATGGGGCAGTCTTTCTTCTGTCATTCAGGTGTTACTTGTCTCATTCACATCTTTCTAGTTGCCTGCATGCTTGGATGGCCAACTCTATATATAAGGAGATGAGGGCTGTTGAAACTTCAACAACTCTTGCAGCTTCATCTTTTTGTAGGGTCATTTTCTTTTTCTTTTATTTGTCTGCACCTGCTTATGACAGATTCTTTCTTTCCTGGCTTTTTAATTTTTTAGCTAATGCTAACTTTATTACTTCATCACTGTTCTTTGCATTGATTATCAGTTTTTGGTCAAATCTATCTATCTTTCCTCCCTCC